GGGCTGGGGTGCTTGGCTCGTGGGGGTGCTCCCAGCCCCCTGCCCTAAGAGGCTCATGGCAGGGGGCTGGAAGGGATATGCCCTGTTCCACCCCCTTCCCCAAAGTCCGGTCCCTACCTCTTCTCTGCCTCCTCTATGGAGCAGGGAGCACGCTGCCGCTCGGCTCTGCTCCGCTCCGCTCCCCCTCCCCAGGGCGATCAGCTGATCGGCGCAGGGAGGAGGAGGAGGGGCAGGAAAGCACCACGCTGGGGGAAGAAGCGGGGGAGGGGGGAAAGCTTGGCTGCCGCAGGACCAAGCTTCTGCCTCCTGCCCCAGCAGGGGAGAGCAGTGGGCGGGGAGGGGCTGAGTGGGGCTGAGGGCCGGGACCTCGGCAGCGTGCCACTCAAAATCGGCATGCATGCCATAGGTTGCTGACCCCTGCACTAGAAGAACCACTAATCTGGTCCAGTATGGCAATTCATATCTTCCTATTATATAAGGGCTTGTCCACAGGGGAAAGCTGTTGCAAAATAAGCTATAGTGTGAATCCAAAGCACAACAGCTATTCCACATTAACTCCCCAAGTTGACACTCTTATTCCACACTAAGAGTGCCTTTGTGCGGTTTTAAACGAATTCAGAATAAGAATGTTCACACAGGTAGCTACTGAGGAATAGCTATTGTGGGCTATTTCCCCATCTAGACAAGCCCTTGTAAAGTAGGAATACACTTTTTCAGTAAATAAATTAATCTTAAAAAGAATCAAGCTACAAATTGGCTGCATCAATTTAACTGCCAATAAGGGTGTGTCTAGACTGCAGCTGGGAACAAGCCTCTCAACACTAGCAGACAGGCTCCCTCATGCTGCGGTGCTAAAACTAGCAGTGTGGACATTGAGGCAATGGCTCAGGATAGCCACCTGAGCTAGGACCAAGAAGATAGCATAGATACAGGAGGCATAGCTATGCCATAGCATAGACAGAACTTTCCATTTGGCCACAGCTAAGTACCTGATAACACATTTTCTGCTCCCTGATTTGCAGTTGCCTCTTGCTCTCCAGCTTTCCCCACAAGAGGGAGTTAATTATAGTGTGTACTCCCTGTATTTTCCATGCAACTAAAGCAGGAGTCAACTTGCAGCCAGAGTGTGTGGTCTGCTGAATTAAGACACAGCAGCCAAAGCCCAGAGAGCCAAGCCACAGGAAGTGGCCTCAAGCTCTTCACTTCCCTGACACACACAGGAAGTTTAGAACCAGGCAGCCTGGACAATGGAGCCAAGGTGCCTGGAGAAAACATCCTCATCCTCAAAAGTCATCAAATAAGTCTTCAACTATGAGCCATAGTTGTATGTGTTTTGACGGTGGATTGAAGATATTTTATTCGGATAAAAATAAATTAACATTGCTTTGGAATTTAGTTCCACCTTGCCATGGAGTAAATAGGGCTGTTTATATAGACACCAACAAAAGTAGCAGGTAGTAACTGAAGTCACAAACACAGCATCTTTACGTCACTGACTACAGAATAAGTTAATAGCTGTCATTTAGAAAAATATGGAACATTTACAACTGGTACAAGAGGGAACCAAATCATGTCAAACCAGCACTGCTTCCTTCCTTGACTGGCCTACTGGATGAGGGAAGCAGTAGATGTGATACATCTTCATTTTAGTAAGCCTTTTGACACAGGCCTACGTGACAGTCTCATAAGCAAACTAGGGAAATGTGATCTAGATTAAATTACTATAATGTGGATGTATAACTGGTTGAAAGACTGTACTCAAAACAGTAGCTATTAATGGTTCGCTGTCAAACTGGGAGGATGTATCTAGTGGGGTCTTGGAGTAGTCTGTCCTGGGTCCACTATTATTCAACAATTTCATCAATGACTTGGATAACGGAATGGAGAGTATGCTTATAAAATCTGCAGATGATACCAAGTTGGGAGGAGTTGCAAGCACTTAAGGAGGCCAGGATTAGAATTCAAAATAACTGAAATTGGAAAATTGGTCTAAAATCAACAAGATGAAATTCAAAAAAGTACAAAGTACTACACTTAAGAAGAAAAAAATCAAATAGATACAAAATGGAGAATAGTTGGCAAAGCAAAATAGTGCTGCTGGAAATGGGGAGGAGGGATAACTCAGTGGTTTGAGCATTGGCCTGCTAAGCCCAGGATTGTGAGTTCAATCCTTGAGGGGGCCACTTAGGGATCTGGGGCAAAATTAGTACTTGGTCCTGCTAGTGAAGGCAGGGGGCTGGACTCAATGACCTTTCAAGGTCCCTTCCAGTTCTAGGAGATAGGATATCTCCATTTAAAAAAAAAAAGGTAGGGGCTAAAGGGCATTACAAGTTGACTATAAGCCAACCATGTGATGCTACTGTCAATATGGCTAATATCCTGGGATCTATTAACAGGATGCAGAAAGTTAAGAAATTAAATCTTTCTGCCTCTGACAAGTGTAACCAGATAGACATTGGGAAGAAACTTCTATAGCAAAGTTTTTCCCTAGTTGTCCACTACAACTTTTCCTGAAACTTTCCTGTCATATTTAAAACACAGGAGGTAACTGTCCCACACAGTCCTGTGTCTGGTTTTGTGCACAACGCTTTAAGAAAGATGCAGACAAACTGGAGAGAGTCCAAAAAGACAGCAACGAAAAATGACAAAAGGTTTAGGAAGCCTAACCTATGAGGAAAGGTTAAAAAACTGTGCATGTTTAGTCTAGAGAAAAGACGACTGAGGGAAAACCTGATAATCTTCAACTATGGCTCCATCTACATTTGGAGCTTGGGGTGTGATTCTGAGCTTGATTAGATACGCTCATGCTAGCTCTCATCAAGCTAGCATGCTAAAAACAGTAGTGTAGACACTGTAGAATGGACAGTGGCAGGCAGCGACACAGGCTAGTCACCCTGAGTACAAATCCATCTGGACCTTTGCGTACAATTTCGGGGAAGCTAGCCCTCCTTGCTGCTCGCCATTGCCACTTCGGGTACACTACTATTTTTAGCAAGATAGCTCAAAAAGAGCTAGCATGAGCACACCTACCTGAGCTAAGAATCACAGCCCCCAGCTCCAAGTATAGATGCCTATGCTAAGAGCTATTATAAAGGGGACAACGATCAATTGTTCTCCATGCCCACTGAAGACAGGACAAGTAGTATCAGCCTAATCTGCAGCAAGGGAGAGTTAGAAAGTTCTTCCCTCTATCTAACCTAACCAAATACTGGAATAGGGTTCCAAGGGAGGTTCTGGAATTCCCATCTTAGAGATTTTAAAAACAGGTTAGATAAACCCCTGCCAGGAATGTCTAGGTTTACTTGGGCCTGCCTCAGCCTGGGGGAACTAGACTAGATGATCTCTTGAGGTCCGTTCCAGTCCTACATTTCTATGACCTGTGTGACCCCACAGATTGCTTATACAAGGGATGGAGGTTGATCCTTAAACCGCACATATTTCTTTTGGCTTTCTTAAGCAACAATCTGAGTATTCAATTAAACCTGGAAAGTTGGCATGATTTTTATTTTAATGAAAGGTTGGCAAGAATTGTATCTATAATAAAAATGTTAACACATTTGAATACATAGTTTGGTCTTGAAGTACAGAGCAAGAAGTACTAGAAATTATGTGATATGTATCAGACAGTTGTGTCATTATGTGTCCTTTAAAAAGAGACGTTAATAAAATTACGTCCACTAAATATGCAGAATAGACTAGGATGTCTCAAACCCAAGAGCAAATAAGGTCCAGCATGATCATTTAGTTTAGAAAGATTAAATGTAAATTTATCTCATACAAGTTTGACTTTCAATTTTGCCTATTGGCAATTGTGAGAAATTCAAAGGATAGCAGTGGGTTGGAGGAGGCCTACATTTGCTGCTCCTCTCCTTAAAAAAGTGCTCACTTTTTAACCTACTACTATTACAACACCTAGAATGGCTACAACTAAAGGACAGTAGAAAAAATATATATTTTGCACATTGTGTTTACTATGCACATTGTTTGTCATCTTCCAGTCAACCAGATTCCTCTGTAGTTTGAGAGTTTTTCCATATTGCAACAAAAAGAGGGAGGAAATATTTCTGAAAGCAGAAAAATATGGTTGCAAACAAAGACTGGCAGGTGAATTCAGGGCAGGTGTAATGCATGGAACTACTTTTAACATTTTAAATTGTTTAGCTTTCAAGTTGGTAGAATCCACTGAAACGCTTTATAAAGTAACTCAGATGCAATTCAAGAAGTATTTTGAGGAACTTGACTTGCTTGAACTTCTGTAATTTTTTCCCCACCATAAGAAACTGACATAAAACTCAGTTCAGTTGATGCTGCTTAGAAAACAAACCAATATTAAATGCTACAGAGCTACCTGTAATTCTCCTCATGAGCTGAACTTTAAAAAGACATTCAATTTAAAATCACTGTTCCTTTAAAACGGGTCTTACTGCAGTATATGCCTGCAAACTTCTGGCAAGTGGGATGTCAAACGTTCTGGGGAAAACCTGAACAAGCGAGATTTCACTACACTGGTATTTAAAACAAAGAACTTCACGGGTTAATAACCCCCCCCCCCGCGAAAAGAGAGTCACTTCTAAGCTGTGTGTACTGCTACGCCCCGGAGCAGCCCCACATCCAGGAGGTCTCCTCCCCCCACCTTCCAGGTCAGATAAGACTGACTGGGAATCGTCCCTCAAAAGCGAGTCACCCCTTCCCCCGGCGTGACACGGAAGCGGGGCTCGGGGATACCTGCCCCGATCTGAATCTGTTCCTCGGCAACCGCTCGGGCCAAGAACTGGGAGAGGCTCGCATCTCCTGGCCCCGGCCCGGCGGCGCACGGCGGCGTGGCGAGCAGGACAAGTACCATTCAGCCGGGCCCGCAGCAGCAGGCCGGGGTGGGAGCAGGACGCCCCCAATACCCTCCCCACCCCCGGCCCTAGGGTGGGTGCAAGTGACAGCTCCCCTGCCCCGCCCCGGCGGCTGCCATGTAAACAAGCCCCGTCCCACCCGCTGCCGGCACAGACCTTCCGAGGTGAGGCGGCAGAAGGGCTTCACCAGCTCGGAGAAGCCCAGGTTGTTCTTGCGGGTGAGTCTCTCCGCCTCCTCGCTGCACAGCGCGGCCACCAAGGGCACGAACGAGTCCTGGATGAACTCCTGCACCGACTGCACGCACTGGGCCATCTCCCCGCCGCAGGCCCCGCGCCGCTCCGCAGCCGCTCTCCCGCCCGACCACCGCCGCCGCCTCCTGCTCCCTCAGCCCCGAACCGGCTAACGCGCTCCGGCCGGGACAGGGCCGCACGCACTCCCAGCGCCACCAAATCTACCCCGCCGGCTCCTCAGCGCTCGCCCAGAGCCGCCATATTGAGCCTGAACCGAGACTACAGCCCGATCCCGGCAGCCTCCGCGACCGCTCACGTGATGAGGTGGAAGGTAGGGGCGGGGCCGTCGGTTGAGCGGAAGGCCGGGGTCGGAAGTGGAACGGTGAGGGCTCCGCGCGCAAAGCGAAACTTCTCGCCGCTGTGGGGCCGCGCGTCACAGTCAGACGCTCGCGCGTTAGTTCTCGGGGTGCCAGCACGAGCGCGGCTGAGTGCTCGTGCGCGCCCTCCTCTGTCACCCCGGCAGGGAGCTCCCCGTCCCCCACCGACCCCGGAGGGCGCGTTACCTCCTTGTACAGCGCTCGGCCCCGGGTGCACCGTGTCCAGCCCCAACCAGCCGGGGCGGGCACAGTGCCCACCCAAATGCACAGCTTCTAACGTGCCAGGGGGCACCTGCCCAGCCACATGTGCAAACCCCAACCTGCTGGGGGGCATCATGTTCAGCCAAAAGCACAGCCCTCAACCACCCAGGGGACTGCATGCAGGGCTGGCTTAACCTTTTGTAGGCCCGGTGCCAAACAGATTTGTGGGCTCCCATGGGGGCAGTGGAGCGTGACATGGGGAGATTGGTCTCCATAGCAAGGGGCAGCCCCGCTCCACCCAGCCCAGTGCGAGGGCACTATTTACAAATTGGCAGTTGCCAGATGGACAATGGCCCGCCCAGCCCTGTGCTGCCAGCATGCTCCTTCCCCTCAGGGGTGGGCCCATGCTGTGCCACACATCTCCCCCCCCAACACCAGAACACCCCCATGATTCCCTATGGCCAGGGCCACCCCAGAGCCTGCCACAAATGCACAGCGCCCTGCACACCACCACCTCTGCCCAAAGCCCCACAGCAATTGCCCAGCATCCCACACAGAACCCCCATTCCCTAGTGCCCCAGCACACACACACATCTTTCCCACCCTCACAGCCCAGCACCCCCACTCAGGCCCTCCAGAGATCCACTCCCGGCCACACTCACTGGCCCTCCGCGAGGCGACTGTCTGCCGGGCTGCGCCGCCAGTGCAGCCAGGGCTGGGCCCAGGGAGGTGAATTGCTCCTGCCCCTCAGGAGTGCCACGATCATCCAGGCCAGGTACTGCCCTGGCCGGGCTCCCTCAGGACCCACTTGCCTGAGGGACTCAGCCAAGCCCCTCACACTGTCGTCCCCAACAAACTGGCCAAGACTGGCCAGGCTTCTGCACCTATGCCAGGCGGCTCAGCTCCACGGAGACAGGTGGGGCCCCACAGGTGATAGGAAGCAGAGACTGCCTGGAGCTGAAGATGTACTGGGGTCCGTCCAGGAGACAGAGAGAAGCCGGTGGGTGTGGCCAAGGGGTGGAGAAGAGCGCTCCGCTGGCCAGCAGGCAGGCTGAGAGGAGCAAGTGGTGGGCGGAAGGCAGGGGGAGGAGAGCCAGTGGACTCGAGGGGTCTCAGGGCACAGTGCAAGCAGAGCAGGCCGAGGCCCCTTCTGAGCATAGCCCGGCTCCATGGCACCATTGTAAACCTAGCACTGACTCCATGCCCAGCCAAACACACTGACCCCAGCTCCCAGGGTTCAGGCAAACAGCCAGTTGTGTACAGTTCCTGTGCCAAGGAACATAATTCCCGAGACGCATACAGCCCCAAGGTGATTCATGCTACGCCAAGCGTCACACAGTACCCGGCCCCCACGGGACAGCACACCGAGAGCAAACCAGGAAATCCCACAGAATGTGTAGCTTTAAGAGGACACCACACTGAACCAAACAGAACATCACAGAGATGATTGGCTCCAGAGGCACAATGCAAAATTAAGCACTGTGACCCACAATGCTGACTGTGAGAGCTTAGTGAAATTATTCAGCTGATGCTTTTTTGGCAAATAATGTACATTTGGCGACATCAAAACATTTTGCAAATTTGTGTTGATTTTGTCAACTGGTTTCAGTTAGAAAAACCTCAAAACCTAAAGATTTTGATAGTTTGGTTTAAAACAACTTTTTGTTTCAAAATTTCCTTGAATTTTATTTTTAAAAAATCAAAAAATGTTTTTAAATGGTAAACATCAAAACAAAACATTTCAGTTTTGTCGAAACAAAACTTTTCAGTCAACCGGAAACATTTTTTTTAAACTGTTCAATTTGCAGGGGGGGGGGGGGGGGAATAATTAAAAATTGTTTTCTGTTTGACCTGAATTGCCAGAGAACCAAAACTTCTGTTACTCACCTGGCTTTATTAAGAGCTTCAGAAACAAAGACTCACAGGGGAGGTTTTCTCTTTTGTGGGAGAGGGGTACTCCATGGTAGTGATGCCAACTCTCATGATTTTATTGCAAGTCACATGATATTTCATGTTTTTCATAAACCCCACTACTGGAGTCATATGATTACATGAGAATCTCAGCTTCCAAAGGCCATGTCTACACTATGGACGCTACAGCGGCATAGCTGTGGTGCTGTAGCTATGCCAGTGTAACCCCATTGTGTAAACACAGACTACAGCAACAGAAGGGATTTTTCCTTCACTTTAGGAACTCCACCTCACTGAGTGATGGTAGTTAGGCCGACAGAAGCATTCTTCTGTTAACCTAGCTACAGCTACACCAGAGGTTGGCATAGCTACAATGCTCAGGGGTGTGGATTTTTCACTTCCCTGGCTTCTGTAGCTATTTCAATCCAAGTTTTAAATATAGACCAGGCATGAGTGGCAGAAGGTCCCTAAAAGTCAGGGGGCCAACAGCGGCCAAACCATGGCCCCACTACCCCGCCCCTTCCCTCCGAGGCCCTATCCCCGCACTGCCCATTCTCCTGAGGGCCTGCCCTCGTGCCGCCCCTTCTCCCCAAGCTTCCGCCCTTGAACCGCCTCTCCCCCCAGGGCCCCGTTCCCACACCGCCTCTCCCACCAAGACCTCGTCCCCCGCTCCCCCTTCCCCCATTGCTCACCCTTACGGAGAGTAAAAAGTGGGGGGGCCATAGCCCCTTGGTGTCCCCCGTTCTGTCGTCCCTGAGACCATGCCTAAATTTCACAGCAGCGACCTTACTTTCCACAGCAGTGTTCCTTTGTTTCCATCTTCCCTCACCCACAGTCCCTCAAAAACACACAGGTGTGGCTCATAGGTGAAAACACTGATTGACATCAATATTTTGGTGATTGTTTCCAACCATGGTTATTTTTGAGGATGGGATTATTTTTCTGCTCACCAGGCAGCACTACTCCACTTCTTGAGCCTCAGCTCTTGTAGCCAGCTACAGCACTTATCTCCCTGATTCCCCAAGGCTCAACAGTTGTGCTGTTCTCCAGACTACCTGGTTTGTACATTATCAGTACATAGCCTACATTTCTTTCTTCTCCCCTACCTGGTTGGAAGCTGGACTCCAGTTCTCGATCTCTGGGTGGCAAACTTTTTGCTGTCTACCTCCATGGAATAGTGCAGGGAACATGCACTTTATCCAGTTTACTCTCACTGTGACTGTGGGGATAGCTGCAAGCAAGAGGCAGCTGTGAGCAGGACCCAGCAGGGCAAGGAGATAGAAAACAAAATTTCTGACACCTGACTGTAGCAAAATAGTGAATTCCATGGCAGAAATGCTGAATTCCATTAAATCTTGAGAAACTACCATATTCTATAGCCATAGAAGCATGGATCCACAGGAACCTGATTGAAATGAATAACCTCTCAGAACTATTGTTTCAAGCTCTCTGAACACACAGGTAGAGGACACTGTATTGGTTTACATTTGATTCATGTTTTGGGGGTTTTCTATGGCTGTGTCTACACTACACAGCCTATGCCACCATAGCCCCCTAGCATAGACACAGATAAAAACACTGATATAAGGAGTTTTTCTGACAATGCAGGAACCTCACCTCCCCAAACAATGTTAGCCATGTCAACAGAAGCACTCCTCTGTTGGCACAGCTGCACCTACACTGGGAGTTTTGTTGTCATAGCTGTATCAGTCAGGGGTGTGGTTTATTTCACACCCCTAACCTACATAGCATAGTTTTTAGTATAGGCCAAGCCTTTTTAACCATAAGAGCTAGAAACATAATTTAAAAACAAAATGAAATCCCAGATACTGGAGATTCCACAGTGAGTGAATTGTGTAACAAATTCTATGGCCACAGATCTATGGAACGCCAGGAGCCCTGGTTAGGCTTACTACAGGTTCTGCACGAGCAATCCATGGTGGTATATATTGAATACCACATAATTATCTAATGTATTGAAGTATTAATTTAATTTTATTGTAATACAGAACAATGCATCACATTCTGCACAAGGCTTATTTTTTACCTTTTTTAGACTAATCTTATTTTTGCAGTATTTATTCTTCATTACTCATAAATAAGATTTTGAAAAAAGCCAAGAGAATGTTAATTTTTTATGAGGTGTGTCTTAATAGAAAAATCAAATACAACTCAACTTTATTAATTACCAGTACAGAGTATCTAATTGTCTTCCCCAACAAATTCAAGTACAGAGTATCTAATTGTCTTCCCCAACAAAATCCCCCTCCATGTTCTCTGAACCTTTTCCCACACTCCAGGTTTCACTGCAACTCCACCTCCTGCCTCAACTCAATTCTGCACCTTCTCCTCTGGATGAAGGACTACTATAGTTCTTAGGTAAATTGGAACATTAAGAAAAACTATGAGATCACTGCATTATGTATTAAGAGCTCACTCCTGCAAGATGATAGGGCTAGAGTGCTCAGCATCTTGCAGGACTGATGGACCTGGACCAAAGCCATTGAAGACAATGGAAAAATACTCTTTGACTTTACTGGGCTTGGATCAGGCTGTAAGGCTCAGATCCTGCAAAGATTTAGGGCTTGTCTACACTTGGAAATGTACTGAAATAGTTATTCTGGAACAATTTTTCTGGAATACTTATTTCAATATAAGCCCTGATCTTATCCCAGACACCCAAATTTTCACCTCTGTGGTGTGGTCTCCTGGCTTGTCTTAGAATGAGGCCTGGTCTACACTACGAGTTTAGGCCGACTTTAGCCGCGTTAAATCGAATTAAGCCTGGACACGTTCACACGACGAAGGCCTTTCTTTCGACTTAAAGGGCCCTTTAAACCGGTTTCTTAACACCACCTCCGACGAGGGGATTAGCGATAAAATCGGCCTTAGG